TTTTTTCATCTTGGGCCTACGAAAAGCGAGCTCAGAAAACAATGGGACAGTAGGAGTGCCATCGACTCCTTAGTGCTTGTGGGATTTGGACCAGGTTCTTTGAGGAAAACCGAGCTTCCCAACGTGCTCGTTTCTGGAAAAAATCCCAGGACTGGAAAGACCCAACCAACAGGCTACTGAGTTTGTTCTTTAGTGTGCAATTGTAACTACTGTAGATCTCCTTGTGGGGCCATCGCCATTGGCTCGCTTTGCGGCAGTTGGTGGAGTTTCTTTCTGATCTTCTTTGGCTGAGGCGACGAAGATCCACGGAAGGGCTTCGTGAAGGGGATGATCCAGGTTGGAGCGAGCGGCGGCGTTTAAGGGTTGGGGGATGTAGCGTGAGATGGGAGAGACACAGGACGGGTGTTGCGCTGAGGACGGGTGACATTTTGCTCGGACCATGTTTTGGCGCTATGGTATGGTGCCACTGTGCCAATCAGTTGGGCTGAAGATAGTAATTAGACCTGACAAGAACCCAGGCTCATCCCAGCTTTCATCAGTCAGGCGTACCAACACCGTGTCAGTTGTGATCGACCGATCTCGTGCACACGGGATCGTGAATTCGACGGTTTGGAGCCTGTGTGTGTTCTTGAGGTGATGGCAAGCGCAATCTCTAAGGTTGTTCAAATAACACCACTACAGATGTTCAAAGAACACCACTACAGAGAGCCAGCCAGCAGGTGTAGAAAAGACTGAATCCTTATATATATTTTTTACTAATTTGTGCCGTTCCATCCTATCAGATCTCTTTGAAGGAACAGCTGGGCCGAACTTGAGTGGGTTATTTTGAGTGTCGACTCTTGATTAAGAAAACCCTTTCATTTGGATTATATATAACCTCTTCAATTGGGGGGCTTGAAATATGATCAAGAGTCTACATTAGGTCGATGTTCTTTTCTCCTCACGCTTCCTCGAAGTTCTTCATCGCTCATACTGGGATTGTCGGGGCAGATGCTGGAAACCCAGGCAGATGCTGGCGGCCAGGCCAGATATGATAGGAGGAGCAGGTTCAAGATGGAAAAACATGACACATACAGCACCCTAAACCCTCCCTAACCCACAAAGACTCCGAGAATCCTTGCAAGGCTTTTGATTTTTAAACACATTTTTCAACATGTTGTTCCCAAACTTGAGCAAGTGGACGTCGGACGTAGGACTTTAGAACACCTCGTTGTAGCTGGCACCACGTGCCACTTGTCAAGATCAACAAGTTTGTTGACTGCCTTGTTCTCTTGCTCCTCTCCCGGTCTCGTTTTCAGGTGGGCCCTGCCGCCAATGAATCAGTGCCTGGGCTTAAAAGAGCCATTACGTTACCATCTCACTTCCTGGAATCATCCTTTTCGGTGGAGAATAGTTCCCTGGAAAACCATTTTCTTCTACGAACAGAGGGTTTTCCACTTCCATGTTAGTTCCAGGGAGAGTCATGAGCCATGAACTTCGTTGACGAAACGCTCTGTCTCTCATGGCTCTCGGAGCGGTTTCATGTTCCCCTTGGGCTTTTGGAGACAAGCCCCAAACACCGAATGGGCTCCGGGTAACTCCTTTGGACTCCTCCAGGCTCGACACAGTCACCGGGGTGTTCCACCGACTTTTCGAGGATATCAGCCACTACTACATCTTCTGGGCCTCCAACAAGCGCCTGCTGAACTTGATCATTTGCTTGCCAAAGGGCATCTACGAGCACCACTTGGGCGAGGGTCAGGTGCGCCAATCGAGCGTTTGGGTCACCCAGCTCGAGGAGTGCTTTAACACGGTCGTGCCTGAGGCCAATGCTGGATGTTCATCCAGTGGGTTGTGGCCATACATTCTTGTTGCAGTCCATTCTCTCCATCCGCGAACCCGGAACATAGAAAGTTGTTGGAGCTTCCATGAGCTTCCATCTTTGGTCTTAATCGAGAGGATCCACGATCCTCAGCAGGTATCCCAGGTAGTGCAGGGCTAGTGCAGGGTGGACACTTTCATCACCCTTGGTTTTAGTCGACAAGCTAGCAGCTAGCTCACCTATACAAAGATGATCAAAGATAATTTGCCAAACCAACAGTTAGTTTGCAAATTTAGCCAGTTAGTTTGCAAATTTAGCCAGAACAATAGGTAATAGATGTGGAGCATCACTTATTTTCTCATGCTGTCTCGTAGATCGGGAGGTACAAAAGAAGAAGCACCCACGTGCCTACCTGAAAACAAACCAGCCAACAGTTTTGTTTTGCTTTGAGTCCAATATCGTTATGCGCAGGGGGGTTGGGTGCTGCTTCTTCTCCGATGATCAGGAGGGTGTGCCAATCCCTCCTGGTGCCAACCAGCTGGTGGTGAAGACGTCCAATGCTGCAGGCATGATGGAGGTGCGGCTGAAAACGTGATGGTTGAGGGACCCACAACTTTCGAAAGGCTTATGATTGGGTCTAAATACACCTACATAACAGTGTCTCCAATCACCTTCTCAGAGGGTACGTGGATCCCTAGGGTCTATTGGGGGTTGACTGAAATGTATGCTTTGCTTTTTTTGTCATCGTGATGACCTCCTTGAAGACTCCTTGCAGTTGGGAGATGAAAGGGTAGGCAAGTGGTTGTTCTCAGGTCATCTCAGGTCACTTTGTGAACGTTTCTTGGCAAAGACAGATCCTTTGTAGAAGACTCACCAGTAAAGTTCAGCGGAGGACCAAACCAGTGAGACCAAGCCTCAGTGGCTCATCTCCATTTTGGTGCACGGCTGACCAGACTACCGCCTGGGGAGAACACACACGCACCATGTTACAACTGCCCGGACGGGGCCCAACCAATAAGTTCCATGGAGTCTACGGCGTCTCTGCGAATGGTTTCGGGAGTCTGGGCCGCGTCGATTCCGGGGTGCTAGGGATCTCCAGTCATCCCATCCACGTATTCAATCACTTGGGGGGGGGGTCCTCTTCGGAAGCCATGCGTTTCACTTCCACTACGGGTTTGGTTGTTGGTTGCACCGGCGCAGCTCAGAAACGAGCTCGCGTAACAAATGCTTGGCTGAGGCGGGCGTCTCCACCTCCGTCTTTGACTTCTGGCGACCGCCCATGCATCAGCTTCTGAAGGGCCTTTTCAAGGGCTAGGGTTAGGGCCAGCCATTCCTGGTTTTGCTTAGGGTGATTTGTGTGTTTACTATGGAACTCCCTTCGGGGGATGATGTTTTATAATCTTTTCTCCCGGTTCCTGAGGCAAATCCAGCTCTAGCAGGCGAAAGCGCAAGAGCAGATCACCTCATAGAGATGGCGCATGACATGAGCACAAGAATCACAGAGAGGTGGTGAACATACCCCGCGAAGCGGCGAAGCTTCTGCAGCACTCATTCCATCTGCATCCGACTGGGTTCCCGGTCAACTGTTGGCTCCGCGCCATCTGCCTGAAGCCATCGCCAAGGATCCCACATTAAATGTAGAAAGGACACCACGCTGAAAACCTCAAGACATTTAGACCCAGCAGTGGGGGCAGAAAGGATCACTTGGAAGGGAGAGCCGTTGAACGACGACAGTGGAGGGTAGCATTCAGGCCCCTCGACCTGACCTTGGTCCGCACACCGGGTCGCAACATGACCCCATTCAGGGTCATTCTGAATCGGTCACGTACGCCACTTGCTGGTTGGATCACCACCTCTACACGTTTAAACGAAGATCGTGATGCCGACCGCACCTGCGCATTGGCCACAAAAGGCATGCGGACGGCAGATGCCTGGGGATGTTGCCATGCCGTCGGCGAAAAAGACGATTGTCCAAGAGAGACCGAAATCGGTTCCTGAATCTGGCATGGCTCTTTGGGGTATGTTCGGGAAAACAGGTCAACTTTGTGTTTTTTGTGTTCCCCCTCTTTTGTGGCACATCAGTTCGTGTTGTCGACCTTCTTGCGACGATGCGAGATTTCTTTTAGTGTTGCATTGCTGACATGCTCCAAAACCCTGGCAACGGAGACGGGACACTCAGAAATCTGACACAACGGCGGAACATAGTATATATAATTAGAATAATAGCACCCAATAGTAGTAGCTATTCAATAGCAATAGTAACACTATGTAACACTAAAAGTAGCCTATTAATAGGAATAAAAGAGCAATAGGATTAATACATGTTGTTTGTAATGGGGCCGGAGAGTGAGGTGAAGCTCTTGAAGGACAGTGAGAAGAACATTTCCGTGGACCTGATGGCTCTCCTAGCGGCCACTGAGAAGCGTTGAGAACAGCCACCTGTGAAGAGTGGCTGAAGTCGCAAGGGTGAAGGATGGCTGAAGTGATCTGAAGTGACCTGGTTCCATTGAGAACCCTCCCTCGGAGATGCTGTGGGAGAGAAACCCAGTTCTGTGAAATATCGGAGATGCTTGAAATGGATGGTTTTCCTCTGTCGGGCTCCAACAGCTGCCGAGCCAGATCTTTTTGTGATGATTAGGCGCACCTTACTCAACCATGAAAGCCTAGGGGGTAATTAGTAATTAGGCAGTTCCTTTTTTTTGGGGGGGGGTTGTGTCATTTGTGTCAACGGTCCAAGGATGAAGATTTTTGAGCTTGGGAAAGGTGTCCAGAAATCATCCTGCTAACTCCTGCAATGCCTAAGTGGACCCAGCGAGTCGAGCTGAGTGGTCTCGGTGATTCCATCTGTGAACGCGGTTTCTGCCAATTCCCTATGCTGAACTTCTTTTCTGAAACAGCTTTCCAAGAATGGCTCAGACTGGATGGTATGTGATGATGCCATATGATGACAAGTCTACATCTTGAATATCAAGGTCCGTTACCATAGCTCTCCCACGTGCGATCCGCTTCAACCGCCCGTCCACCGAGTTGATCCGTTTGCGCCGCCGTGCGGTTTCGTTGCGCGGGCTACCTCGCGCTGGTGAAACGACACCACCGCAAGGTGACCCGAAAGATCAAGGACGAGACCGAGATCTACCAGTGTGGCCCTTCTATCGGTGTCGTGTGGAGGGTCCATCCGATGTGGGTCGATTTCATGGTCGATGTCGATGTCCTTCCTGGCCTACCCAGGAAACTATACTGAGGTTAGGTGGAACGCACCAGTTTTCTAGGTATATCATGGTATATCTATATAGGTATTGTTTTTCAATGTGTTTCCTTGCGTTTTGTGTGTGAGCGTACCAGTGAGCATCAGAGGCCAGTGTGGGCCTGAGCAACCGCAAGAGCATGGTTGTTCAGACCGCTTGAACAGATTCCTTGCGCCGTGCTGGTAATAGACAAAACCTTATATATAGATTTAACTATAAACCCTTAACGTTTGACAATAGCAGTGCATCCCAGTTTGTGATGAAGTGCCGGATCTGTTTTGGTGGGTCCATGTTGGTCCATGTGTCATGGACAGTGCACCTCACATCATCTGAAAAAAAAACCGCCCTGAAGGGAATCATGGGACGTGGAAGGTGCTGTACCTCTCCCAAAAAAAGCTCCCCGAACACCGAGGCTCCGTCTATGCTGCTGCGCTGCGGGACATGGGCTTCCAGACGCGCGAAGCTGCGGAGTTCCTGAGCATCTTCCTGTGCCCAGATCTCAATGGTCGAGTGTTGTTCGATGGATCGAGCGGAGTTCCCCAAGATTCCAACATGGTAGAACAACGAGCGAAAACGACGGTGGTTTTCCAGTGAGGCGGGCTCGTCGAGCCGGGCCACCCCACCGCTGCCGCGGGGGGGAGGAGGGTCTCAGTGAGGTCTCGGAGACCGCTTTGAACGCCGCTTCTACCGTGCGAACGGTGGAACGAACCGTGGGAGGAGGAGCTACGACCATCACAAGGGCGAGAGCGAACGGAACTAAGGGCATGACTAGTAGCTAATGAGCTAGAAGCTACGAACGTGACAAGGGCGATGCCGCAGAACTTGGAAGATCTTGGCTTCAGATTCTTCGGAACTGCCCCGCTTGGGGGGGAAAATCACGCATCTGCCCTCATCACACTGTTTATCACCAGGAGCCAAGAAGCATGCATCCAGATGGACATTCCCTCCAAGTATTATATAATATACTATAGACTCTATAGACCCAGTACGGTGGTTGGAAAGGGCGTTTGCAATGAACATCAATGAACGATTGCCGGCTGCTATTCCGCCCCATTGGACCCAGAGGACAAGTAAAACCGCTATCGTGATGACCAGGATGACCACCCGTCAGCAAAGCACAGCATAACACAGCCTCCTCAAAGGGCTTGAGAGATTGGTCTTTGTTGGCGCACCTGAACCACCTGGGCACGCCCCACTCTCTCTTCAGGCCAGTCACCGACGAAGGGGCGCAGCCACTGATTTGTGAGGCGGAAAATCCGAGCCAGGGCGGTTTTGCGCCATGCGGCGCAGTTGGAAGAAGCATCTTTCCACATGGCACCCCGTAATTAACCCTGGTCAACCGCGGATCAAATGAACAGACTCCACGATGTTCGGGATGTCAACCTGATTTATAGTCTTTGACGTCCAAAACCCACGGATTCGTGAGCACCGCCTTTTCACCGTGCGTCGGCCCATGTTGGAAGATCCGAGAGCTTCTCGTTTTGCTGTGTGGGGTCTGGTGTTTGACAACTCGATTGTACTTTCAAGATAGTTTAGATCTCAAGAGACCTGGAGAGAACAATTCCGAACTTCACTGATGCCATCTTGAATTAAAACAAACCGACACAAGTCAGAAGCAAGCTAGGTCGTGAGAAGAGTATGAAAAGCTTTTTCAGAATTCGAAGCCACAAAACATGGCAAGAAACCAACATGGAATGAATGGGGAAGTTTTGGGTCTGGGCGTTTTTGGTTTGACTCAGTGGGAAACATACACCTCATGCACCTCATGCAGAGATGTGGCATTTAGCCATGTCCCAAATCAAGATGACATGCCGCTCCTGCATGATCTTCCCCAAAGATTTAGTGTATTGATGCGTGTTTCTTCCACCATGTCCAAGACTCCGACTGATCAACTGGAAGCACTCCTGTTAATTTGGCCGCAGCAGTTGATCACTTTGCAAATTTGTTGGGTTGTCGAACACTTGCCCTCGCTCAGAATTTGACATCCACTCCCAGCAGATGCTCCAAAAGACATAATTTAGCAATTTGTCTTGCAAGCTCTTAGTCATTATCGTGTGAGAGTCAGGGCTGCCAAAGCATGTGCCGTTTGAAAGTCGGAGCTGCTGGCCATCCCAAAAGAAGCGAAACAGGTGTATTTACCAGCCTTGCTGAAACCTGGATCCTCGCGTACTGTAACACTTACAGTGGTTTCAGAGTAGATGGCACTGGCACCTGAAGATGACTTGTAGATGAGGCTCCATATAAACCACCTCCTTACGGGTTTGTGCCATCTACATCATCTACGCTTCTTGAAAGCACTACGTGGCCGTCGACGCCCGCCCCACCGGCAGGACTTGGTGAACCTGTTCACTCGCTCGTTCGAAATGACCGACTCGGAGCTCCTCGGGCCCTTTTTCGGGCTGAAAGAAAGAGGGGACGGTGTGTTGTTCACTTTCTCTGGTTTTCTCTCAGCGTCATCAGTTTCTTTGTGTTTTTTTCTATTCTTTGTCTTTCTCCTTCTTCGTCTTCGTCTTCGTTTTCGTCTTCTTCGTGTTCTTCTTCATCATCTTCTTCTTCATTTCCATTCTCATGCCTTTTTCATCATCCACCGGGATAGTCTTTGGGCACCATGTGTCCAGATCCCAGTAAGTGATTAAGACCTTGTGGTCAAACCGTGGACTTCCTCGAGGTTGTCGGGATGTACAGTAGTTATGGACCAGTTATGGACAGTCATTTAGGGCATCCTGGAGTCCATGCAGGAGTTGCTGTGTGGCGTTTTAGGCGGCAGGAGTTGGATTTGCAGCCGTGCAGTCGTTGGAGAAACACACCTTGGCACCCAACAGGTTTGTAACTTCTAATTCGTTGACAGTTCCCGATTTCAGGGGTTACATGCCTTCAGCATTTGATGTTGCTCCTGTGATTCTGAGGTGCCAATCCTTGTACTCCATTTTCAAGCAAGTGCTTGCAGAGGACAAAGGTGCCAGTTAGTCGGCGCATGTCAACCTGTTCACAAAATGCGATGCTGCTGCACATTTGGGATCATTTGGGTGCACTCAGACTGCACCGGTCATTCCTGGCAAGCAGGACAGGTCAAAGGACACTTGTGTGACTACACCTTTTCATGCAGACCGCTGTGAACCTTGTGCCGGAGGTTTATCGCTCTCGATGTGTTTAAGGACATGGCATGGCTCCTTGATTCGCATGCCATTCCACCCAGTCAGTAGATAACCTAACCCTTTTGGGGGATTTGTTTCCCCACTAACAAAAAGCTTAATGGTCCTTAACTGTCAGCCACTCTTTTCCATTGTTTCCTAGCGGT